GTGAGTCAGAGTTCTAAAGGTCAGGGGCTTAGAAATCATGATAAAACTAAGCCTGTACAAAGCTCAACTTATTGGCAGAATAATGGTCAAGTATTTGCCAAGCCCTCTGGGAACAGGGCGGAGCAGCTAATCTGACTTGGGGATGGCGATGAGAGTGGACACGGAAGGAGATGAGCTAAATCCTTGTGAAGGACAGCTCTGGAAAGCGGTTTACTGTAAAAAACAGGACAAAAACTCACCACTGGGACTTCTTAATTAGTATCTTATTCTACTCTCTTCAGTCTCTGAAAAAGGCTGTACTTGTATCCCTGGTTGGCCTCAACTCAAAGCAGTCCTCCTGCCTCAGCCCCCAAACTCAAAGCAATCCTCCTGCCTCAGCCCGAGCACTACAATTACAGCCCGAGCACACCATCACATCCAGCTACCTCTGTTCTTTACCAGACACAGCTCTATCTTTTGGTTTCAACCACTGTCCCTGTCAGCCATGGTGGCAGCTAGCAGCTTCTTTTTGTTATTTCACAACTCTAGCTAATACCTTAGAGTGTGTGGCGCTGGAGAGACGGCTCAATGGATAAGAGCACTTCCAGGGAGGCCAAGGTTTGATTTCCAGCATCCACATGATGAGGAACGACTGACCCTAAGGAACTTCAGTTCCAGACCATCTGATACCTGTTTTGGTCTTCTCAGGTCATACACGTGGTACACAGACACACATGAACTTAGTAAGTCTTCATCTTAAATAGCCCAGTGCTATGAACACAGAAGAATTGTTTCTAGTGGAAGGAGTTGTAGGTACCAAACTCAGGAGCAGACAGTTACTGTCAAGGAAAAGTTACTCGTGAAAATAAAACCAACAGAGCTAACATGTAAAGGTGAAATCAAAAGAGAGCAACTCCATATGATTTCTAGCTGACATCCCCCAACCCAAGCTACTCCTCAACTGTAGAGTTCATGACTAAAAAACCTCACTCCACTCTTAGCAAGCAGGTTCCAATAAAACATAATGGGAAGTCAGTTGCAAAGCTGTATTTTCAATACCTTCCCTTTCATCTTAAGATTCTCTATGTAAAGCTGAAGTCATTTGTGCTGCTTAGTAAATGCTAATTTTGTGTACTAATTGCACAAAACTCCATGGAAATGCAACTTACTTTTCTTTAGTAGTTTACACTTTCTCTTTAAGCTACAAATTAGTATGCTTTCCCCAGTTAAGTTAATCTCTTGACTAGTGTTTAAAAGCCATAATTGTAAGTCTTTAAAGCTACTTAAAACAGTAATATAACAGCTTAACAAAATACTCATTCTAAGTAATATCTGAAAAAATTAGTAGGTCCTTTATGACCAAAATACATTGGGCAGACCAGAGAGAAAAAAATGCAGTCATTACTAACAAAATAAATTTCAAGGGATTTCAAGATATTTTATGTTTTCATGTTTTAAACAAAATATTTGACCATTACTAAAAACAATTGGCCTCATCTTTGGATAGATCTACAACACATGGGACTAAAAGAGCCAAAAAGAATGTTTTAGTAGCATTTTAAACTATATTATAGAAGAAAGACTAAATAGCTAGACATGGTGCACATCACCCTAGCAATTGGGAGGAACAAAAGGAGGATTGCTAAGGGTTAAAGGCCAGCCGGATCTATATAGGGAGGGTGATGGTCAACGCTGCCCGTCAGCTTAGCGGGATCTAGAACCACTAGGAGAGAGGCTTTGGGCATGCCTGTGGGAGACAGAGACAGTCTTGACGAGGGAGGTTACGTGAGGTGAGAAGATACGTTCTGTGAGCAGGCAGCATCATTCCATGGATTGAGTGCAGCATGGACTGAAGAAAAGGAAGTAAGCTGAGCACGTGATCCATTGTTCTCTTCCTCCTGTTGCCTTAACTCCCTTACCATGACTGAGTGTGATCAGAATGTGAGCCAGCACCAACCCTTTCTTCCTGAAGGTATTTTGCCACGACCAGAGGAAAACAGTACAGGTATTTTCATGCCAGCCAGCACTATACAAGCCAGAGTCTGCCTCAAAGCAAACAAGAACTAAAAAAATTTTACTAATAGACAAGCTTCTAATGGAGCTAATTTTATATGGAAATTTAACTTTTATTAGATGCATATCAAATTTAACAGTAACTACTTGCAGGCTGGAGCTGAATGAGATGGAGGAGCACACATTACAGTGAGTCACTGGCTTGCGGCTGCACTCTCTGGTTGCTGGATTGCGGGGTGAGTCTAGCGGCGTTACTCCACACACTACTTTCATGTCTCCAGTCACATTCTAAGTACTTTCTTCTGGTTTGCTTCCATTACACCTATAAAAACTATTCCTTCGTTTAGTATGAAAGTGCTAGAAAATGCCTAATGGGAAATTAGCTTAGAGATTAGGGCTGGCAGCAAAGAAAGCAAGCACCAGACTCAGTACAAAAGGTTCTGAGGATGCAGACTCACTTGTACTTAGCTATATTAAACATTTTAGCCACGATTAGCTAGTATTAACAGGCAGACTACTTGTCTGCTATTGTTAAGCTGTAGAAGCTGAAACTGTCTGGATACAACATACAGTTCAACTAGTAACAAAAACTGTATTAAAAAGTGGGTATTTTCCAGACCCAGAAAGACAAATATAGTATGTACTCATTCATAAGTGGATATTAGACATAAAGCAAGGGACCACGACTCCAGAGAGCCTAGGTAACAAAGAGGACCCTAAGAAAAGGGGGAAAAAGACAAGATCTCCTGAGTAAATTGGGAGCATTGGGGGCAAGGGAGAGGATGGAAGGAGAGAGGGGAGGTGGGAAGGGGAGTAGGGAAAAGATGTATAGCTCAATAAAAAAAAAAATGGCAAAAAATAAAACAAAATACAAAAACAAAAACAAGACAAAAATGGGTATTTTGAAGCAGCACTGACAAAAAGCAACAGGCAGAAATAGATCTTCTATGCACTGTTTATATTTTAGGCATATTTGTATCAATGAAAGGGCAGAATCTCTCTTATGCCTTAATGACAAAGGGCTCGTGAGATAGTCTTATCTTACCCACATTTTAAAGTTTGGGGTATTAGTAAATGATCTTGTTTTCTGGTTGGTAATGGCACAGCCATGGAACAATGAAGAGATGACTCACACTGAGTCCTTCAGCAGTCTGTCCAGGTGACTATCTCCCTATAAAGGCAGAGGGCAGTCACAGCCGACAAGCTATCTGGTCTTAAACGTCCTTAAATCAAATCAAGCTTTTAAAACTTGATGCTTAGCTTTTTACATATATAAGGGCTACCTTACATGTATGAAATCGAAACACAAAACACATGTGGGTTTAATACAGCCAAGAAAGCAAAGAGCATGTTGGACTCTGTAAGCTCACCCAGAACACTGGAACCTCAAGTCATCAATTGAGGGAATCAAGTGTTAAATCTGGCTACCACAAACCTTAGTATTTTAATAATATGCTGTTTTGTTTTTCCTCCAAAACTATAAATATATACTTGTTAGAAATAAACTTTATCTAGTCACAAGAAAGCATTACTATTTAAAAGCTTTACAAGTAGAAACACCTTAAACATGGGCAAGTGAAAGACTAACAAAAGGGAACTCAACAAGGAAATGGGAAACTGTGCTTTGAAATCCCACTAAGTCACTTTTATACAATCTGCTTTGTGTTGACAGTGAGCACTGAAGACAGAACCTTGTAAATACAGGTGAGTGCTCTGTTACCGAGCCACACTTCAGCCCCCAGGCACTTTTGTTTGGATATACAAACACTCTTCTCAGTTACTTCACAGTGTGGAAGACTAACAGTTTTACTGAACACAAAGACTGAGTGATGAACCAGGCATAGTGATGAACACCTGTAATCTCAGTACCAAGGAGGCCGAGGCAACAGGGCAGTGAGTTCAAGTCCATCTTGGGCTACCAGGCATCACGGCAAGTTCTAGAATGAGACTGTCTTCCAACAGCCAACACAGCCACACATCCAAACAGAACACCCTGAGCACTTGAAACTTCAACAGTGGGTTCAAAATGACACATTTTCTGGGGGCAGTGCTATTTCTCCTTGACTGACTTCTCAGAGAGGAAAGATAAGGTTACTAGTATCGCAATTTCTAGTAACAGGTATGAAAGTCAACAGTTCTGTTAACCACATTTGTGCCCAAAATTATGCACCATGCTACTATGTCAGTATACAACTGGCTCATTTTCACAAATAAACTGAAATACCTCCAGAAGCTCAGGCCTCCAGGATCTCAACCCAGGACCGAGGTCACCCCAATCACCAGGCAGAGTCGAAAGCTTGATGCAAACTGCACGAGGCTTTATTATAGTTAAAAAGCTAACCCCATGTTAGCTCAGGTCTTTCA